TATATATATATATATATATATATATATATATAATTTACACTACTGTTTAATAGTTTGGGGCCAGTAAGATTTTTATTTTAAAGGAATTAATACTTTTTTTCAGCAATGATGCAGTAAATTGATCAAAATTGATAGTTAAGACAGTTTTTAATGTTACAAAAGATTTCTGTTTCAAAAGGTTTCAAATTAATGCTGTTCTTCAAAAAATATATAACCTTTTCCACAAAAATATTAATCAGCATTATTATTCAACATAGATAATGATAATCAGTGTTTCTTGAGCACCAAATCAGTTTAATAGAAGGATTTCTGAAGGATCATGTGACTCTGAAGACTGGAGTTTGCCAACACAGGATTAAATTACTTTTTAAAATATATTCAAATAGAAACTGTTGTAATTTGTAATAATATTTCACAATATTACTGTATTTTTGATTAAGTAATGTAGCCTTGGAGAGCATAAAAGACATATATTATGAAAAGAAAATTTTTATTGATAATGTATGTAATGTAGTTTATGCAGTGTATATGACAACTCTAATGCATATTTAGTTTGTTGTTCATGCTACTGCAGTGTCAGTGACCTGATTATTGTCCCAAACCTTATTATCCAAACAGTATTTCCACTAGAAACACCTTAGAGAGAAAAGGAGATCTTGATGAAGAAGAGGACGACGACAACGGTTGGCTGACAACATGTACATGGCCCAGAACCACAATCGTGACCATATCTCCATCAGGACACTGTCTACCCTCGCAGACTTGACCAGAAACAGGAAGGAGTTGGTTACAGGCAGCCAGAGACTGTGCATTGGCCCTCCTTCCAACTTGTCCTTCACCCTCCTTGTGAGTACATCATTAAATGAATGAGAACCTCCTCTGTAGCAGCATCTACTGACAGGCCACTGTGCTGGTGAGTGGCTAAACTAGCAGGTTATTTGAGGTCCTAACACTGTGCTGAAATTCAATTCTGTGAAGTTTGTCTCCTAAAGAACATTTAATCTGCTTGCACGACAAAAGCTTTTTCAGCTGTCCCAACTGGATACGGTTTTGATGACTTCACTGTAAGTACAGTACACAAATGTGCTATTTGGCACAGGGCTGTTGAGACCAAACCATTTATCATATTCTGATATTGATGTTCTGTCGTTCAGATTTCAGTTGTGAAAACCTTTAATCTGATATTCATTGCAGCACTGCAATACATCCTTTGGCATTATTTAAGAGTAACAGCACTCAAAAAGTTTTCCTGCAAAGAAAAAACAAAAAAAAGATATGTTGCTTATCAACGATTGATAGTTCAGTTAAAATGTGCAGGATGCGCCAATATTAAAATGTTATACTATTTTGAAAAGAAATAACAAAATAAACTTTTTAAATGCTACAAGTGAATTATAATGCACAGTGTGAGAATGGATATTCATTTTGAGATTTGCTAAAGATTACATTTAACAATGTTATTAAAAAAATTTTTTTTTAAAGATAAACTTTAAAGGGGTCATATGATGCAATTTAAATTTTTCCTTTCTCTTTGGAGTGTTACAAGCTCTTGGTGCATAAAGAAGATCTGTAAAGTTGCAAAGACTAAAGTCCATAAACACAATTTATTACACCAAATACACAAAATAATGTTCTTTTTAGCAACATCATATGACCCCTTTAAGTGAGCGTTTGATAATGGCAAAGGTAATCTAAAAGGAAAAATTGTGTAAAAAAAAAAGCATGAACAATTATATATCCAGTATCGGCCAGTACTAATGAATTAAAACATTTCTAATATCAGCTAATAACTGATATGGTACTGATACTGTACACTGTGCTTATATATATATATATAGTGTAGCTCATTATACCACATATTTTTTGGTGAGAATTTCTCAAAATTGAGCGAATGATGCATATGTCAGAAACTGGAGGGTGCCGTTACTCTTAAATAATTTATTTATCTGCCATTATCACTTGTGCATGAGAGAAATGGGGCAATTTAATGAGTGAGTCAATGAAAATATTCACATTCGATTAGCGTCAAAACATGACTGTTTTCTGAAGTGTGACAGACGCCCTCTGAATATATATTACATTAGACATTGGAGATGCCTTACCTTACCCTCAAACAGATAAGAAGTTCAGCCATGTCAGTGTTACAACAACAGTGAGTTAATATACTAATTCAGCTTATTTTCCTGACCAGCTAACCAAGCAGGACTAACCATAAGTCATGGTTTATGCTCAGCTTTGTTTCACCAATTCGATATGTTGATTGTTTATCTGTTTGCCACTTAAGCAGCTTATGATCAGAGCTGCAGGGTCTTGAGTTTTGTTTCTTATAGTGACTTTTTTTCCAAACTGTATAAAAATCCCTAGTGGAACAAAAAAAATCCCTTTTCCTTATGTTGACTCATTTCAAACCGGCTTTTTTGCTTTGTGTTTGAGCGTACAGATGGTTTGATGTTTGAACTGTGTGCCAAGGTGACAGTCCTCTTTTAAACACTCAGTCTTGACAGAACTTGAGTTAAAACAAATGTGCTGTTGCTAATCTATAAACCAATCGTTAATGCCAAAAATCAGTCAATGTGATGTTTGCTCTTTGTTAAAGGCAAAAATCATTGAATGAAGCTTAAATATGGCAGAGTGGTTTGAGGTTGCCTTACTGTAAGTGTCAAAATAAATGAAGGGAAAAGCTTAGCAGAATTTTTTGTAATCTATTTATGATAAATGATTGGCCTTAGTGGCTTCAATTAAACTAGTCCTCATTGCTGATCCATGTTTGTTTTACACATTACCAATAACTGATCCGTCCTGATAATAAACTCAGACATTGGCTGTGTCTGAAACCTGAAAAATGCTTTGCAGGATCATGTGGCATTGATGACTGGCGTGTAACGGCTGCTGAAAATTCAAATATAAAATTATATAAAATTTTTAAATATATTAAAATAGAAAACAGTTCTTTTAAATTGCAATAATATTTCACAATATTACTGTTTTTGCTGTATTTGATCAAATAAATGTAGCCTTGGTGATCATAAGACTTATTCGAAAAATAAAAAAAGCATTAAATAATCTTGTGTGTCTGAAAGCAGTTTCATTATGCCCATGAAGTTTTAGACTGATTAGGCAGCTAACTGAGGTTTTGGACTCAGCCACTGTGAGATGTTGCATTAAAAAAGAAATAATATTTGGGTTATTTCTTTCTGTTTTATACCAGACTAAAAGGCTGTACATCATCACAATAACTACCGAGAATTACTAACACCCTAAATACAACCCCTAGAGGTCATGGGATCAGTTGTGTACCAATAAAAAAGTACTCAAGTATGTTGGAAATATGGTTTTAGTGTGCTTTTGTTTGCGCTGCGCAGGGTTTCTGTGCCCCCTTGTGGTGAGTTATGATTCTAGCACCGTTTATTTGCAGTGTCCATGTACATGACTGTAATTGCTGTTCCTGTGCAGAAGTCAAATTTGTCTGGGGAATAAAAGATGCAGCACAAAATCCTTGCTGATAACAGGGTATGAATTTTTAGACATTGTTATGCTTTTCTTTTAGCTGCTGCTTCTGTGACCTTTTCCTGTGCAATCATCATTGTAAATACTGCTTTTTTTGTACATACTGCCCAAGAAATCTGAAACAAATAAACTTGAGTGTGATATTTCATGGAACATATTTGTCTAGTTTCTACTTCTCAAAATTAAATGGCTGAATAGGTTGAGATATACATCAATGCTTGTGTACTTTCCTGTCAAAGCATACAAAATGGATTTACAGCATAAGTATGAGGAATTAGGCATGTGATCTTTGTGTGGTCTACTAAGCTGTATGTGGTTAATACAAAGCTTGAAATGCTATGGATTTGTTTTGTCAATTAACTTGCACGTGCATTCTCCACACCAGCAGAGGGCAACAATTACATAATTCAAAACATCATTTCAGTAATTAAATTCTTTCAAATGCAGGTGCTGAAAACATAAAGTAATTCATAAAGGATGTAAAATAAAACTAAATTCCATGATGGAAAACATAATGTTATACAAATTCTTCGGATGACAGACAAAACAAAACACTAGATGTTAAATTAATTTGTGCATCACGTCTACAGTAGACATGATACAATAACACAAAAATATTAAAGATGAGAAAAGTGTTCAAGAATCTCTATCTGACAACATTTTATTGAGCGTAACTAGTATGATGCTCAATAAAATGTTGTCAGACAGAGATTATGAAAATATTTTAACCTCTGTATTGTTATTGTTAAAACTAAAATGATTAACATTAATTATTGGTAGCTGAAATAAAATATAAATATTAGATAAAAATGTAAGCTTAAAAAAAAACTAAATTAAAAATGAAAATTAGAGATGTTGCCACAGCAACTAACTGAAATAAGTTGAAGTACTAATTAAACCTATATAAAAAAAAAATAAAATAAAACTGAAAATATATTTAAAAAACTATTCAAAATACTACTTTGTGTGTGTGTGTGTGCGCGCGCTTTTGTGATTTATGAGGACACAAATTTGTATAATGACAATGGGTATGACATAGGTATTGCAACAAGAAGGTGATTTATGAGGACATTTTGAGTGTTCAGAATGAGTTTTTTTGAAAATCTAAAAATGCAGAAAGTTTCCTGTGAGGGGTAGGTTTAGGTGTAGGGTTGGTGTAGGGCGATAGAAAATACGGTTTGTACAGTATAAAAAACATTATGCCTATGGAATGTCCCCACAATTCACAAAAACAAACCTGTGTGTGTGTGCGTGTGCGTGTGTGAGGTGTTATTGTGTTCACTTACAATATTATGAACTTAAAACTAAATAAAAACATAAAAATGTAACAGATTTGATATTACTGGCTATACCAACCCTAATAGTAAGAAGAAGAAAAAAGCTATGCTGTCAAAACAATACTAAAATAACATTGCATCATACAGGATACTTTCACTTTGATATACAAGATCTACAACGAATGAATACTTGTTCCAATATGCCCACTATGTGTGCACAGGGTCAGAGGTGGGATGATGATGTGGACAGATGTCAGACACAGCTGGTAAGGTGTGAGGGTGGCCATGAATCAGAGTTTGGAGGAGACCCATTCCCTTTTCCAGCTCTTGTAAAGCAGTGCTGTTCTCCCAACCCCCCAACTGTGAACACTGTTCCCAGGGTCAGAACACAGACTTCTGAGCAGCGCCTGTCAACACGGCTCTGATGACTAGAGCTGATGACAGTTTCAGAAAGAGAACAGTGGAATAAAAGCAGCATGATTGTGCACTTATTTACCCTTTTGCACTGGCTGTGCATTATGTTGATTCCTTAGGCTTTGTAAAAGTAGACTTAGCAGGATGTTTTCTGTTTATAACACGCATGCCAGTGAACAGTACAAACTAGTGCAAATCACATGATCACATATCACGATATACTATTTGAGTTCGGTACATTCTTCGATTACATAACAAATCTCATACTGTCACAGAAAGGCCAGACTGCCCATCTACATTACATCTTCCAAACCTGTTGACCCTGTTATGACGTGATCTCCTGGTACATGTGAAACTAATAACCCCGGCTGTTTTTCTCTGTAGGTTTGACCCTGACTTAAAGGAATATCGTGGGTTCAGCAAGAGTTACACTCAGTCAACAGCATTTGTGGCATAATGTTGATTACCACAAAAAAATATTTATTTCAACTTGTTTTCGGGGTTAAAGTGAGGCACTTACAGTACAATGGTACAATTTGATTGTACAATACAGTACAATATTGAAGATTTAAAAGCAGAAATGTGAAACTTAATTTATAAAAAAAAACTTTTACAGATGTTTTAGATTTTACACTGTCATGGCAACATAGTATATCAGGCATATGATTACAGAAAAGGTTAAAATGCATTATTTTCATGCTAAAATCATGCGAACATATTTTTTTACATTTTGTGGCTGTTTTTGAGTGAATATTTTAATATTTTCGAGGTTCCGATGAGGCCCTTACAATGAAAGTGAATGGGACCAATCTGTGACAACTCTAAATAAATATAAAATAAATAAACATATTTATACTGATACTGATACACAAATACTGATGACTGAGCTTAACTTGCATGGAATCTGAAAATGTTACTGTTTAACCTTCTTTGAGTAAAGTTATACTTTCCTTTAAACAGCTTTGCAACTCCAGTAATATGCAAGTTTTGACAAAGTTTAATCTTTAATAATTTCTGTTAAATATTTAACAGAAATTAAAAATTAACATTAGAAATTATAACATTAAT